AAGTATTGAAGTTCCACCCTCGATCATACAAATCTTATTCTTATGAGATTTCACTAGTCATTGACACCACCCTTTTTATTTAAACAGATCTTCACAGACTTGATTTTAAAAAATGATGTCGTTTCTCAAAGATTGGATTACATATTCAGTCAAAATACTATAAATAAATGCAAGCAGGAAAGAGGCACAGTTCATCACATGTCTCTAAGACAATTCATTACTTAGCTGTATTGACTTCTAAGGAGACATTTACAGGACTGTACTGTAAATTTACAAGTGAAACCATCACTCTTTTGTGGATTGTTTACATTAGGGATCTGAACTCGGTGAGTAAATGACATGCATAGTTCCTTCCCACATGAGAATTTTAGACACACTCTGAAGTTAGAAGTTCTTATGCCTTTTAACAGCACAAGAAAGACTCAGAGACAGAAAAAGAAGCAAAGACCTAGAGAAAAAGACACACACAGAAAGATACAAAGAAAATATTCATATGCTGTGGAGTTTCCATGCCTAGCCCTTGAAATTAATTCTAAACAATATAAGCTTAAATTCACTTAATTCATTTTTAATAACAGGGCACAATCAGCTATGCTATTTACCCCTGGGGCTCAGAAATCACTGGATATAAGGCCTTAAATTAGGAACATATAGTTACTGGGATGTTTTAGGTAATAAATCTAGAGAGCTGTAACAAATTGATGTTTCAATAAGAGACATTTAAGAGCAAAGCGATAAAATAGGCAGCTATAAGTCACAAAGAACAGATGGTGTTCACTCAAAAGTGCTGAAGAATCTCAAAAATGAAATTACAAAGCTGTCTAAAACCAACTCATGTGCCAGGGGTCTGCAAGACAGCTAAAATAATGTGCCTCTCTCTCTCTCTCTCTCTCTCTGTGTGTGTGTGTAAAGGCTGTGGAATTGTTTGTGGAATGAGAGAACAGTGAGTCACTTCAGACTTGGGGGGAAAAACCAGCGAAAATTGTAGTAGTCAGTAAAGAATGGGTACAATCCACCCACAGAATGACTTTATAGAACAACCACACTAAAAACAGAGTTCCTGCGCAGCTCTTCTAAAAAATACATTTAAGATCAAGACTGAAACTGCGCCTTATCAAAGGACCAAATCCCAAACCCCCCAGATAGGACCAAAACTCAGGCTGACAGTGTAGATAAGATGGAAATATAAGTAAGATGACTGTCAAAGGAACACAAAGGAAGAGCCAAAGAAGACAATGGTAAAGAAAGGGATTCGAGTCAGACCAATACAGATCTCAACTCACAATGGGGTATAAGATAACCAGGATGAGGTGAATTAACTGTAGGATTTGAGACTGAGGACTCTTGAAGTGGCCAGTTGGTATCAATGTTCACCACTCTTTAAAATAGCTGCAAAAGTTGCAATTTTAACAAATGTTAAGTAAAGAGTGATTTCCAGTGCTCAACAAAATCAAACTAGAAGGAACAAAACCAGAGTTTGACAAGAAAAAGGATATAGAGACAAAGCTGGATGCACAGATAAAAGTAGAATATCTGTGCAATTCCTTTCAAAAAGCTGAGTTTCATTTCAGGTAGCAAACCAGGCTATAATCTTGGACACAGAAATATAAATGGAACATATCCAGAAGGATTCGAAGCATGGAAACACAAATCATGTATTGATGCCCCTATGCTATTCGTTCCCAAGGTTTTCTCTTCTCTCTCTCTCCTCCACCAATTTCCTTTCTACATGAGATAATTTTTTTCCAGATACCTACAGGAAAACCACAAAGACGATACAAGAAGCATAACATTTCTGCTCATTTTCCCTAGAAACTGGTACTGAGAAGCACACTGCCCCTGACAGGGAAATCAATCTATATCTATCATAAATGGAAAGGGCATGGTCTGGAAATTGGCAATAAGATTAAAGAACAGTATTTTGTTGAGGAAACATTGTCCACCCCTAATTTCCTAGAAATCTGTCTAGATTCAATAAGCAGATGGAACATATAAAAGAACCTTGCTATTCCTGTAAATAAATACATTTAACAGAGCATACTACTACAAGATGGATGGATGATATCCTTGAAGTGACTGGATTGACCTTGAAGGAGCTGGGGGTGGTGACGACCGACAGGGAGGTCTGGCGTGGACTGGTCCATGAAGTCACAAAGAGTCGGAAATGACTGAACGAATGAACAACAACACTACGACATTGCTACCCATGCCACAAACCATGCCAAAGAAATCAACACCATTGTTGATTTCACTGTAAACTTTTGGGACAATAAGGCAAGTTGAGAGTATGATAATCTTGCAAAACTAAACAGTGTGGCAATGAAATGTCAAATGAAATTCAATGTAATAAATAATGTATTCATGGGTGAGGAGTAGCATTACTTGATGTTGTTGAGCTCTAAACTGCCATAAAAAACACATGTTTTGGAATAACTTCATGTTTCCAAAATAATCAAGATCGCAACACAGCAATCAAAACAGAAAGCAGATGGGTAAAACTATTAGAGAAAAAAGAAAGGGAAAAGGTCGACAAGAAGTACCTACTAATGCCCATATCAAAGATCACTGCTTTGTGCACAACTTGAGCTGTTCCATTAAATCCCACACAGAAAAAGAAGACAGAGTAAAACAGCAAATATTTTTTAGCTAAAGGACCAGAAAATATCAAAGGCAAAGATGATTTCCATTATGAAGAAATGCCTTGAAGTCTTAACAGTATTTGTCAGCTGAAGGATTGCTTCACAGACAGATGTAAAATGAGGTAAGAAACCTGTTTTTTCAGAGGAGAGCAACAGTGAATGCAAATTTAATGTTGCCTTGCAGGTTAGCCATGATATTGTCTTACAGAACTTATAGCCCATACACTAAGTAACCAAGTAGAAAGCAACTCACACGACACAAAAAAAACTGAGATGGGCATAAATGCTAAGTTACCATAGACTTGCAGTGGGAACAGCTAAACAAACAGTCTAAAGTTAATTTATCATGTTGCTCAAATGTGGATGGAGACACTGCTCTGGTTTATGTTGCCGGTCATCAAATATATCAAAGCAGCCGTTTTCTCAACCTTTGGACAATACAAGAAACAAGTCATGGAGTGCAACACCATGCGGTTCGTTTAGCTGCTCCTGGGGAAAACAGAGGCAATCTGAGAGCAAGTACTGGCAAGTAGCTCATAAGACAGGATTCCCAAGATTCCCAACCTTGTCATGATCTTGGAAACAAAAAACTGCTGGGTTACATAAAAAACTGGTTGCACAAAAGCACACCATTAATTTATATATACATAAATAATTCCTAGGATGCATTTGCTATGATAGAGAAAAGTATCTTTTCAGCTTGAAGGCCACATCGCTTCACGGAAAACTTGCATGGGACAAAAGCTCAGAGTGAGCAGAGCCACTTTTACACAATTCTTCTCCTTTTCTAAAACGTATAGTTGTTTCAATCTTTATACTTGTACTGAGGTCTATCTTGTTAGTAATTTGTATTTTTTGTCATCTCGAGTCCCATTATCAGTAGAGAGGCAGCATATAAATAATAATAGTATTTTTCTCTCACTTCTATCTCTATCTACCCCAAACTCTACAAAACCATTAAGTTGCCAAAACCTTCCATTGGAGAAAGAAGGCTATGAACTGCATGTCTTCACTGAAGACAAAAAGGTCTTCTGCACTATATGAGTTTCATTGTGTTCAAAAAACACAGCCTGCATTTTTATTCCTTCTTAGACTCTTTTTACTTTCAGTTATCAGATACTGGAATGCTCAATCTCTGTTTCCATCTCCTCTTAAAGGTAGTAAGAGTTAGAGCTTATGGGATTTACAGTTGTGGAAAAACAAAAGGGCTCCAAAAGTCATCTGTCCAGAGAAACAATTTCACCAACACATCCTTCTTTTCTGTGCAATTCTGTCACAGCCATAATGGCTATTCAATCTGAACTGTTAGCTTACAGTAGCTGGATACATGATCAGAACTATATGATATGTCTTTTCCCTTACAAAATACATTGGGGGGATAGTGGTTGGGCTCTGTTTTCTTCCAATTTCATTTCTTATCAAGGTTCACATATTATTTGAATATAATTAAATTGTGTTTTCAGTTGCAGGATCAATAAACTACAATAAGGTTGGGTTGTTGTAGGTTTTTTGGACTGTATGGCCATGTTCTAGAAGCATTCTTCAAGAACATGGCCATACAACTTGAAAAAAACCACAACAACCCAGTGATTGTGGCCATGAAAGCCTTCAACAATACATACAGTAATGTTCCCTATTCCTATTTAAGTAGATAAATGTTTTCATCACTCAAAACCAGTCTAATGTGTTTACCTGAATTCTGGAATGCTGTACAACATCACAGATGGAAAATAAAAATTCAGAATCCATGACTAACATCATTGTGTTATTATTTTTTAATTAGCAAAATGGAATTATCCACTTGCTGGGGCACGGCCAGAACCAAGGAAGCAGATTTATTTCCAGATTGTGTTGGGAATCCTCAGGAAATACTGCCTTAATTGAAATAACTTTCTGAATAAAGCTGCTTTTCAGGATTTCATGGCATTCAGCTCTGTCACATTAAGCTAAAGAATGGGGGCCTAGTATGCTAAGTATGCAAATATGAGTGAGATAGTGGACAGAAAAACATAGCCATTTTGTATGGTAGTGAATTGAGTTAGGGAGAAAGAAATCTGTTTAACAATCAGGTAGAAAAAGAAAGATATATATATATATATATATATATATATATATATATATATATATATATATAAGGGAACAAAGAGAAGATAATCTAACATTTTAACCTATTTAGGAATACATCTGTTGTCCATCAAATCAAATAGGCATAGTATTTAACTGTTCAGCTGGTCCTGCTGTGCATTTCATGCCATGCAGCCTGTTTAGGGATGGAAGGTCTACCTTGACCAGAATGTGATTATTTTACTGCATTATCTCTTTCTGTCTTGCTCCATCCTACTTAACACAGATATAACTTACCTTCATTGTCGCCACCAGGTGGATGATAGAAAGACAGGCCCAGGGAGATTATGGCTGCTATTTCCAATATGATTAATGTGACATCCTGCAGTGCTTCCCAGACTAACTGCAGGAAAGTTTTGGCCTTTTTGGGTGGAATGAAGTTTTGGCCAAATGCTTGCCTTCTTTTCTCCAAATCCGCAGGATTCCCTGATAGGCCTGCAAGCAAGGGAAAGAAAATTGAAATACATGGTCAAGGAAACACACTTACTTTGATTCTAATTCTAAAAGCCATTTTCCTTCATCTCCTGTAAGTCTGATTAGATGTATTGCTCTGTATCAAACTAAGAGCTCTCAGGCAGTAAATGTTAGCTCTGCAAAGGCATACCATGAACAAGAACGAAGTAACTGAGACAGATCAAAGGAACTCTGAATGGAAGGGTGATTGAGATAGAAAGAAGCAAAAGCAATAGTTAACTCAGGCTTCAGTCTTGAACAGCTTTGGCATCTCTAAATAATATATATATATGCTTAAACAAACAGCATCCTCACCAATCACATCTATCATTACGTTTCAAAGTATAATAGCTGGAAAAACCAGCAAATGTGCAGGCACTATAGCCCAAACCACCATTGGTTTGGGCTAGAAAAAATCCTTAAGTTCATTTGTGGGAGTATCTCTTACAAAATTATTTTCATTACATTTCTCAGATTCTTATAAACATTTTGTCATGTCATCTTCTTTATGAAGCTGCAATATTTGTGTTCTTTCCATAATGAGAATATGCATTTCATTCTCCTCCAAAATGCTGGTATTCCATATGTATGGATTTTTATACATTATCTCCTTTGGTGAAAGCATGCAGCAACACATTTTTCAAACATGTCTGTATGCATTTTTGGTGTGCATTTCTCATTCTTGAAACAATTACGCAGCCTTGGAAATTTGTTCCACTACCAATTTCAAGAGGTGTGATTTTTTTTTTTAAAAAAAAGGAAAATATGAACTCAATTATCTTCTTTTCCATTCCTACTCATATCCATCTCCAGTTCATTTTAACGTATAATTTATGTAAAAGTAATCATTCTAGCCTAGAATACAGTTTCACAGATTGGTATTGAAATGATCCCTGTGGGTGTCTTGGATTTTCATTCTTACAGCTTTTTACCTAGCCCTCTCACCTTACCACTTCCAATTAAATTTTGAGCTAGGCTAGAGAACTATCTTTTTTAGAAAACTCTGTACAATAAATTAGGCACAATAGAAAACCATTAGGTAAAATAAACAAATGCAAAACACTTGTCATAATTTGTTGTGAAGCTGTGATTTTTTGAAATGTTAACTACATAAAACCACACCACAAAATAAAAAATACCATAGGCTACGTCTCATATTTCAACTTTCACACATGAACTTAGGAGGTCACCCTGTACATTTGATGGCAAACATGCTATTGTGAAACAAACAAGTGCATATTCATGATCTCAATGAGATGTTAAACACACACACACCCCTTTGACATCTGAGCAGAAAATAGAATACATGTATTTCGACGTGGATTTCCATCATGGGAAGGATTTGCACTGAAATTCCAGGAAAGGAACTAACTCCATATAAGAGGCATTGCTCACTCATCTCACATTTTAATGACAAGAAACAAACATGGTGCTGTTACTTTGTGCCAGGGATGAACAAAATACAGCCTTCCACATATTGCTGGACTGAAATCTCAATCATCCTTAGAAAATATAACCAATGGTGGAGAAGCTGGGAGTTGCAGTCAAAAACTGGAGGCTCATGATTTTCCTACTCCATCTTCTGAGGAAAACTACATTCAGAAAGGAAAGATGGATGCCTACAAACAAGAAGACTGCCAAATGCCACCCCATTAATTCTTGATAAATGTGCAAATTCTAGTAAACAAATTACAAAGCTAGATGCATGTATATTTTGTAGAGTTAACATTCTTTTTGGAGGAACAGGGAGACAGATATTGGCCATGCATATTATTATACATGCAAAAGGGCAGCTAACATGAATGCAGGTCCCTTTGTGGATAAGGTGTAGGTGGCTATTCTCTTGCCTTTGCACTCTGTCCAAAAAAATCTCCCATACTAAATACCCTGGGAAAGGGAGGTGGCAGCCTTCCCTTCCCTGAAAGGAAGGACAGGAACACAACTCAGATCTTAAATTGGAGCTCCTGGAGGACAGAAAAAAATGTGCTCCATGTGAAAAGGCGCTCTCATTTCTTCCCTTTTCTCAATTGAGGTAAGCCCTGCTGTTTCTCTATCATCTGAATCACTTCCTGCCGCCTTCCTTCCACACCAGGAAGAAACAGCAGCAGGAGCCTCCTTGAGGGCTGAACAACTAACAGGCGATGGGAAGGTCTGAACTCCACATGCTGAGCTATGCATAGGATCTCAGATACAGAAGGTTAATTAGACCCATGGCTGATAAGGGGAAATATTATTACATTAACAACCACAGATGTGCTTAATAATTAATTTTTATTCTGTACCCACCCTATTTATGTCAGAAAGATCAAGAAAATTTATTCTTTCACACAATGGTGACACTTAGCAACATGCTCACCACCATTTATTTATTTACGTGTTATTGTATTTATTTTTATCCTGCCTTTCTCCCAAGATAGGAACTTAAGGCAGTCAACAATAACAACACACTAACTTTCATTTAACAAAGTTAAAAGGTTTGCAAGGATTGCTGGTAATGTATGCTAGAGCAATATACTTATTCTCTTGAGGATGATTGTTCCAGCTTTTTTATCCTTACCTCAGTATTAATTTCCAATGTGCTACCTAGAGTAGTGTCAGAGACTTGACAGCTCCCACCATGCTTTGCTTGGACAGGAAAGGTCAGAAGAATGCTCCTATATAGTAACAATCTGGAAGGCACTTTCTTTGACATATGGGATAGTGCTGGGGGTTCACAGCATGTGTGCAAGGTCAGGAAAGCTTGGCAAGATCTCTGACTGGTGGCTTGCATCTCTCCCCTGCTTCTCCTCAGGATAAAGGGGAAAGGAAAGACTGAATCTCTTCAAGCAACCGGAACATGAACAAATGTCCAGAATCAAGAAAAAAGCAATTTTGCTTCCTCTCCACCTTCCAAAAGCAATTCAGAGTATCTAGGAAATGATGAATTTCCTATATAGAGAGAAGAAAGGCTTAAAATAATCTAATACAGGCTGCTGGGTCTTTCTAACTCTGAAGGAAAAAAGAACAGGTGGACCCTAAATTCATAGAAAAATAGACTATATTTTTACTACCCAAACCTTCTTCCCTTTCTAAGCCAGTGGTTCCTAACCTGTGGTCCATGGATCACCAGTGATCTGCAAAAATTAAAATATGGTCTGCAGCCTCACCATTACTACACCATTGCGATGAGAGTGACTGGTCTCACAAACTTCTCTTATAGTGCTGAGGCTTACTACATATGGTTTTCTCTGAGTGAGCAGCCTGAGCATATGTTCTGTATCAGAAACTAGAGCCGATCAAAGCAATTTTCTGAATCAGCACCCCAAATAATCAAACCGAATTTAAAGTTGACCAAAAATTTATTTGTAATCCAGGGTACTAATGTTGGAGAGTGGTCCCTGGTCAAAAAAGGTTGGGAACCACTGTTCTAAGCCAATCTTCATTGAGCTAAGACCTTCTGGCTGGACCAGAAGTAGAGATGAGAAGTAGACTCAACAGGGCTTTCAGGGTTAGTCAAGGTCTGGATTAAAAAGAGGCTTTAAGAACTACAACCTCCCTCATAAAAACAGCAGAAATTACACTACATGCAAATTCAGTATCATAAGAGATAACTAAGGTTGGCATTCCAGCCACTTTAAAATGTTATTTAGATGCATTCCATAAGGATGAGATTATGAAAGGCTGGCAAGATGGCTTTGCATTACCTTTAGTATCAGAGACAGTAAGCCTGTGAACACTAGTTTTCAGGAACCACAAATGGAAAGGCATCTTTACATCCTGCTTGTGGACTTCTCACAGACATCTCGGAACTATTCACACTACAGCATTATAGTTCCATGATTCCACTATAACTGCCATGGCAACATTTTGGATTCTACCATTTCAAGAGGGGCGTAAAGATAACTTTACTGACTCGCCAAACCACAACTTCGGGATTCCATAGGATAAAGCCATGGTAGTTACAGTGGAATCAGAGTGCTGTAACTGTATTGTGTGAATAGAATATTGTGACAATCGTGACTTTGGACTGATCCAGAGTAGTTTTTCTTATCCTCTCTTCAATGCTTTCTACCAATGCTTTCCCACCAATCTTTAGTTCTACATGGCATTAATGAGATTCCCTTCAGGGTGCTCTTTGACTTGTCCTGTCTTGTATAAAGTGAGAAGAAGCCCAGAATGAGTGAGAAAAGTGTAGGTAGGGAAAAAAGACAAATTGCATATCGAAAGAAAAGCTTCTATGCAAACATTCTTGGGCTGTATCCACATATATCTCAGTAAGTCAAGCACAGCCCTGACAATGATCTTTCGGAAAGGTGCTTCCTATCATTCCTTTATACATTCTTTATGAACCGTGGTACATTCTTCACATTTCTACAGCAAGATGAGACATGGTTAGTGAAGTGACAGAAATTATTCCCCAAAGCACTCTTATGTTCCTCTTTCCAAAATGAAAATAGAAGCCTCTTGGAAGGAGACAGTAAGACCTGCTCTAGTAACAATAACAGGAACAAGTAGATCAAAAATAAAGAAATATATTCAACATGATTTTAAGGTGCAGTTCCTCCACCGCTTCACATCGTGTCTAAATTCTTCTCTCAGTGAGAACAAATACACACTAATGTCACATGAAATTCAAATAAGTTTGCATAAACATGACTTTTCCCCAAGGATGGGGAAAGCATAATCCTCTAAATCAGTGGTTCTCAACCTGGGGTCCCCAGATGTTTTTGGCCTACAATTCCCAGAAATCCTAACAGCTGGTAAACTGGCTGGGATTTCTGGGAGTTGTAGGCCAAAAACATCTGGGGACCCCAGGTTGGGAACCACTGATCTAAATGTTTGCAGCTTCAGATTCCATTACACTATGTAACATAATTTTTGTTCTCGGGTTATAAATATCATTTCTTAGTTGGTTCTATCATAAAAACATGGAAAACATTTATTAAACTGCAAATACTCTTTTGAGGGACATCCTGCAGCACATTTTGCTGCAGTTTTTCAAT